TAGGCAGAGAAAAACATCATCGTGAAAACATTTTGTCTCGTTATGTTCACGACATAAAACATGGTAAAATTTTACGCGTTCCAAAAACGACAATGAAGCTCTTTTAGGTTTCAAAAGTTCATGAATGGATGGGCAGCGATGATTACTCATGATCGACGTTGTCATAGTTTCGACAGAAGCATGCATATGTTTTAAAATAACCCAATAAAAAAACGGTGGAATTTCGATAAATAATAGATTAAATTTGATTGGTGCATAGAATTCAACGAATATTTTATCTGCAGGGACATTTTTCACAATACTAGTTTGTGTTGGTTCTGATACATTATGTACAGTAATGAAGTGAACAAGGATCGCTGAAGGAATCGGAATGTCGCCGAAGTAAATATTTATCTTGGTGTTTGTATTATTGCAAATAGTGCCTGAAAAATCTGATGAACAAAGACATGTAAACCCATTCTGCGATATACGTTCATCATCTGGAATACATGATCCGCCATGTTGACATGTGTTACTTTGACAAATATTTCTTGTTAATAGACATCGTGGTCCGAATTTTCCAAGTGGACACACGCACATTGATCGATTATTATAGGTACCGTAAAAGATAGAATCGGACGAACATTGATTAGCACTCATTTTTTGACAATATTGTCCGTACCAGCCTGCATCGCACCGGCAAAAATATATGTCAATATTTTCGTATTTAAAGCATCGTCCATGATAACATTTGATTGGACAACTTGTCGATGCGATATTGCCTTCAGCAGGAATTATGACAATTTTAGCTAAGCGATTGACAGGCAAGAATTGAAATGGAATGCTTAGATACCAACTGGTGTAGTATGCCAACGGATCGATGAAGAATGCATCGATGTGAATGCTGTAGTTTTTTCTCTCATCTTTCGGTCGTGCTTTATAGAACAGATTGATATTGTACTTATTAGTGCAATCACGTGTCGGTACATAAGTGATGTAATCGTATGAATGAACATCTTGTTCTTCATCTATTAACATAATCGAAAAATAGAACAGTGCATGCCAAAGATGAGGAGCATTTTCTTTGTTGAATCGAATAGTAAGGCTTACATGTTGGTTTTGATACTGACAGCGATCACCATAATGACTAGGTGGGCAAAGGCAGTCATCTTCATGCCGTCCATGATTATAAATGGGAATACCACGATTACAGAGCCATGCTCGACGGCGATAAACATCAACTAGCTTAGTGATTATTTTACTTCCGATTGATTCATTGTTCCATGTTTGAGATGGATTTGAAATAATTGAATGATCAGAAGGTGATGCCAGAGTTGCATTTAGAGTATCACTAGTTGAAAGGGAGAAAAACTTTTGCAAGCGATTTTCATCGTGCAATTTCGTGAGACTTTCTTCGCCTCCACCGACTGTTCGGCATATGCCTCGTCTATCTTCATTTGGACAGTAATCATCAAATCGACATACTAAACGAGCCGATGCACACTCAATGTCGTTCTGACATCTGTAACGCTGTCTCGGCGTCATGGGCTGTAGTTCACGACAATATGATCTCTCGTCATATGATCCTACACAGTCAATTTCGCCATTTCCAGCCTGAATCAGAGGTAAACAGATTGGTTCATAGGTTCGAGATGATATGCAAGGATGCTCATTCGGTCCACATCGAGATCTTTCACATGCGATTTCATCGGCGCCATTTGCACAATTCCAAACTCCATTACAATGTGTGTAATGATTGTCACACTGCCACTCTTCACAATTCGTCTCATCAGTTTCAACATGACCATTTTCTGTTGTCATCACAGTATCAATAAAGCCATCGCAAATATATGTAAAAGCTACTGGAATATGTCGTCCACGTCGGTTATATCCAAGTTCATCTTCGCCGTTGGTACAGTCTTTGATACTGTTCAGCACGAGCCACGATTGAATACATTTATTTTGAGATGAGCATCGAAAACGATACTTGTTTTGAAGATCACAACTATTACTGACTATTTCATCGATATCTTCATAACAATCTTTGAAGCCATCGATTAGACGATGTTTTGAGATACACTTGGACGAGTTTGGACAATGGAAAACATTTTCTGTTTGACAAAGCTGTCGATGATTAACCGAATATGTCGAGGAACAGCCACGAAAAACACCATACAGAGCCGTTAAAAGTAAGTACCATTCTAGTACTATATTCTCATTGAAAGCAAAGCTTTCGAATGGCAGACATGTCAAATTATTTCGAAATATCGTCGGCTTAAGAAAGTCGCACAATTCATGATCGTAACAAATATAGTTAGGCACTGGTATTGAACCAAAAATACTGATATGTGATGAATATAAGAAACGAACGTGACCAAATATTTGATAGTTAGGGAAGATGAATAATAATGGACACTGATCTCTAGCGATATCGAGACATGTGTGGAAATGACAATAATCATCACAGTCTAAACCGTCGATATTGTCTAAGTTGTGCAAACAAATCACGGCAAACCAACAATCTAGTGATAACGATGTATTGTGATTTGCATAGGACCATATGGCGTTTGAAAACTTAAAATTGCGCCCATTCTTACACGTCTCGAGAATAAATGGTGGAACATAGTTTTCTATAAATGTATCATCGCCACAAGAAAATCCCAATCCATACGGAGGACTTAGCTCAGAACATCGAAATGCTGGATCTTGGTAGCATTCCTTTAATTCCAACAAGGTTTGATATTCATCTGTTCCATCGAGACAATCTGGATTCAGTTCATCGTCATGAAAAAAGTAGTTAGGAATACACATGCCGTTGCGACACCGAAATTCGTCGTCAGCACATTCATTCAGCTCGAGTAAGAAACAATCTTCTTCGTCTTGGCTCCCGTTCAAACAGTCAATATGATTATTACATACTTCTCGCCAATCAAGACACATCGGTACAGGTCCGCGATTGCACTCAACGTGTATGTAACACGAATAACTTGTGTAATCGACGAGCTCAATTGTTGGATAATTTTTCAGCAGAAATATATGTTGGACAAGATCACTAAATGATTTATTCAATGGATACAATGAGTATTGACAGTCGTCTCCAAATACTGCCCAAGTACAATTGTAAAAGATTCCTGAATCGAAATCTTCATGGGCCTGATATTGTTCAGCAACATCTATCGATGCAGACCATGTAATTAATTGTTGACTACTGATATTATTTGCATGTAACTCATCAAAACTAATCGGTCTTCCTTCCACTGATGGATCACGTTTTACACGAAACAATTCAGGTTCTGACGGACGAATACAGTATGGAATAATTTGAAAGGCATATCGAGATTGTGTTTTGTAATGCACGATATCATTCTGCACATAATAATAGAGACAATCGTAGTATAAATTGGCTCCGCTCGTATTCATTTGACTCGTATAGTAAAGATTGTATTGTGGAGCACTCCTCACTATCCAGAGTATTGTCACGATAAGGCTGATGGAGAACAACATCTGTTAGTTAGTGATTATTTAAAGCTATGGGAGACAGCTCTTTGATCTATGAATCGACAATTATGCCTAGCAACACGTTCAGTAAAGACGTGCCATGAATATTTTCATGACATAGTCAATAAAACTCAACAGTCTCGTGCTGTTGAGAGACTATCACATAGCAAATCTGACTATAGTGACGACGTGACTGACATAGAAGTAAAATAATCAAATAGTTTGGTTGTAGCTGATTTTCAAGCATTTTACATGAGTTTCAACTAGTTACGCTGAGAATTAGTTAAAGTTATATATTTACTAATCGATAGACAAAATTATCTCACAAAGGATACAATTGAATATTTTTAGCAACAGGTTTTTCTCTCAGTAAGTTAACCATGTCACAGCTAAGTTAACAGAGTGCAACTTAATGCATCAGAGGGGATTATTTCATTCAGCAAGAAAAAAAATATGATAAAGAATAACATAGATCTGTCTTGTTGAGAATAAAGAAATAAGATTGCTTTGCAATGATATCTTTAAATGCTATACAGAGTATATGTGCGTGAAGTTGAGTATGAGTACGAGAAAAGAAGATACACACCAAAACCCACCTCCAGCCCCACATCCCACACAAATAGGTTGGAAAAGTTCTAGGAACTCTGCAGAGCATCATAGTTGTATCTATCATGTCATCAGATGACGCCCACGTGGTGATCATATTTAACACACCGGTGTATGGAACAAAATATTTGAATCTATACAAACAACGATATCATCTTATATTTTTCTATCATAAAAACTTGTGAATGCTTAGAGAAAGTCGATTTTTACCGGTTTTTTCCTCATTTTTTATTAAACTACTATGTGTGCAATATATCTTTCTATGATATTTATACTATTCTTTATTATATCTAATCTTTTCGTGCGACATTAAGTTTTATGCACTAAATTAATAATACAATTAACTTTTGAAAATTATCAAACATTTTTGTATTAATAAAAATTGGAGTGCTGTTTCATATAATCTTTTCTTTTGTTACTTATTTTACTGATAGAAGAATTATATGGACATGTTTTTAATGAGTAAATCTAAATTTATTGATATATTAATATCACTATTGTCAAATTTTTTTAAAAATGCCAATCACCATTTTTGGAATAACTAGGGTGTGGTTGTGGGGTGTGTCTGTGGGCGGGTGTGGGTGTGAGCGGAGAGAAAATTCACACTCACATGCACACCCACACACACACCCACCTACACCCATCCCATACACCCACACCCACACCTACATTCACACCCACCCACACCCCACACCCACCCACACCCTTATTCGTATCAATGAATGGGTCATCAAGAATTGTCCTGTTAGTATTTATGAAATTTCTCGTCTATTCTCTTCTTGATTGAAACATTTTTTTTTTGTAATCAAAAGAGATTTCAAAGTGAACAATTATCTTGTAAAACAAACAAAATGTTTCAATCAAGGAGAGAATAGAGAAGATATTTCAATAATACTAAGAAGGCAATTCTTTATGACTCATCGGTTATTATTATTTGTTGGTATTATTGTTATACCTTGTTGAATAGCTGTTAATAAACGTTGCATAAGTTTTTTTGATATATCATTTGTTGCTTCTGAATTTGTTGATGCTAATGATGCAATAATGGTTTTTAAACCAGTACTTGATATATTACGGAATTTTTCAGCATCTTGAGACATATTTGTACAATATGAACATAATGTATCACATATAATTTCAATTTGTTCTTCTTTTATTTTACATACTAATGGTCTAAGACATTTAACAGCTTGATTTTGTACTTCATCATTTGTATCTTCTAATAATTTTAAAACACTTTTTACAATTTAATATTCAATATCATCATCTAATTTAATTGGTTCATTTTGTAAATCATTCATTAAATCTAATGTTGCCATTAAACGAAAATCTTTATCGTCAGATAACAATTTTTTTAAATAAAATATTCAATATATGTTATTGTTGCAACGGACATATTTAACATATTCGAATTTCTCCTTGATACTATACTTTATCATCTTTTTTTCTTATATAAATCTTTTGTCCTTGATCAAATGATAAACGATCTGCTGTATTTGTATGAAATGATGTTATTGCAATAGCTGTTTCTTGAAATGGCTTCAAAAAAAAAAGAATAAAATTTTTATTTTTGTTTTTATTTCAATATTTACATGATCAACTTTTTGAACATAATTATTCGAATATGTTCCTGAATGATCACCGATTTTTCCTGTCCATCAATATTAAATGATAAATCAGTTGATTCCGTTGCTTCAAATGGATAAATAGCTTCATAAATATCAGGAAAATAAATATTATAATTTTTCTTTTTTGGAAATAATAAAACAAAAGATAATAGAAGACAAAAGAATACATGCAAATTATTTTTATAATACGCTCGGCTTTTGAGCACACAAGGACAAAAAGCGACTAAAAGGAGCTGTTATTATTAAAAATCATTCATTGACCAGAAACTTCTATTTGTATTCAGAACAAATAGCAGACAAAAAGGAGCAAAAAAATACAACAAAAATAAATTTTTTTTTCTCGTAACCAATAATAAGGAAAATGAGGCAAGAGAGATTTTATTGAATTGAATTATTATATTTGATGAATTGTCTGGCAATTACGTATTGTTGGTATAATGGGTGCCTGACGCCAAACTAAATAGTAATTAGAATTTGACTATCTCTGTCTATCTAAATTTGTTTTTTTTTTAAACACTCATTATAAAATAATTTATCTAATCTAATAGTGATGTAAGAAATAGAATGAAAAAAAAAGGACACAAATATTACTAACGCCACCATCATTTGATGATACATCATGAGCATATATTGGGAAATTCAATGGTTTTTCACTGGTCGATGTATTTCTAAGAAATAATTAATCATTTATTCAAAATAATAATTTAATTTTTAGAAAGAAATCTTTATAGGAAAAAATATTATTAGATCGAAAGAAACAGTATTCATTGTACGATATCCTCTCATTAGTCGAGTTCCTAGGAATCGAACCCGAAACTACTATCCCTAATCAAAGATGTAGAATTCACCGCTAAAATAAAAAAATTCCTCCACTTTCAAAATAAAACCAGTCGACTTTTTTTCCGAAGTCCAAAAGAATAATTCGCAAATAAATTTACATTCGCAGCCAACAAGAGAGAAACAGATTTACTTTTACATATAAATATTATATGAAAAAATCTAATTTTTATTAATTCAACTCGATTAGATTTTAAAGAGTGATATACTGAATGATAAAAGAAAAGAAGAAACTGTTTTATTTCTTTTTATTAACAAATAAATCAGAGAAACTGAATTAGCAGTCTTATTTCTACAAGAAAAAATGTTTCCAAAATGTCTCTCAACGCATATTGGCACATGCAGATAAATTCTTCTTTACTTTGTCGAATTTTTATTATTTTGTATTTCAATTTCAATAGCTGGTCGAATATAATTTCTTGGAAACCAACCAATCTAAATAAGAATTTTCTTAATAAAATTTAAATATGATTTAAAAATCTATACTTTTCCACGAAGTTGACCACTATACTATGTTGTATCTTTTTGTTCTCGTACAAGAATAAGTTCACCTGTTTGAAACGATAAATGTTTATCAACTGTTTTCCTTGATGATCAGCTAATACCATCATCCATCATCCAAACTAAAAATAAAATGATTAATTCAATATAAAAATGAACCATTTCATCTTACTGCTAATTATGATGTTGTTTCATTAACATTTTCATTAGCAGATGATGATGTTAAGCTATATATCAAACAAAAAATAAAGTTTTCTTCTTAATTCCTTCAACCTACATAATACGTTCAGCATATGCTAAAAAAATTTCTGAAAAAAGAAAAGAAAAAAGCTTGCCTCAATTGATTTCTTCAAAAATTTATTTTCTTGATTTTTTTTTTCTTATTACAAAAAAAAAGAATAAATCAAACTAACTTACAGTTATTATATCACCAGTTGACATTGACACATCATCAGAACGTTCTGATTTATAATCATATAATGCCTGATATCGAATTGTACCTAGATTAAAAGAGTCTAGAAATTGATTATTGTTTTCAGATCTACTAACCAGAAGAAGAATTTTCATTAAAAACATTTTGTGATTCATCATTTGTTTTATTAAATGGTGTCCAAATATTTCCATTTTTATTAGTTATTGTTGTTGTTGTTCCACTCCATGGATCAACTGATGATGATTTAGCTTTTGGTGCTGTATTTTTTGTGTTTGGAAATTCAATTTTTGAACCAAATGGATAATTTGTTGTAGGAACATTGTTCGATGATTGAAACCAATCATTTGTTGTTGTTGATGAACCTATATCAGATTGAGAAGCAAATGGATCGACTGTTTGAAATGGATCAACATCAATATTAGAAGAAATATTAGCATGAAATTGATCATAATTAGCTGAGAAATAAATATAATGAATCAAGAAAAAAAACCGATAAGAGCATAGACTAGACACAAAAGAAATAGTTACCAAATGCTGAAGGAGTAGTAATTTTGCTTAAAAAATGAATAATAATAAATTTTAGATTTGGAGAATTAATAGATATTTTTTTAATTTGCTTTAATGGTTTTTTATTTTTAGCATCTTGTTCAAGTTGATTGAGTTGAAGGCGAAGTTGTTCCATTTGATTTTGATATTGTTTAGATTTATTAGTAAATGTAAGAATTTGTTCATCAATAGGTCTATTTTCTTGTTTCATAGTTTCTATTGGTGTTTGGAATTGGAAGAATTTCATTTGTTCAGATTCTCGTCTACCCATACCTTTATATAGAAAAAAAGGTTAAAAATACATTCCAGAAGTTTCCTTTGATCGATAGAAAGTATTAACGATGATGTCGATGCTAGGTTTCGCTGACTTTCGAATCGGATCTTGAAAGCCAATCACAATACTCTTGATTCCAAGATCCAACTATCTTCGGAGTGTTCTTGATGGAATTGGCTGCACGCTATTCCCCTGAGCAGATTAAAATGAAGTGTATAGTAACTTCAGCTCACATGAAAAAAGCTGGATCATCAATCCTGACTCAAACGATGAAAAGTTGCTTGATCAGCTTCAGCTCAGTGAATTAAACACATCTTATTATTTGACTATCTCATAGCAAAACAAATTTCTTATTCAGCTAAATTTAACAGCATCATATCTCGAAATCTGACGATTCTTTTATGATGTGGTCCAAGGCTCCCGATTGTTTTTAGAAGTGAGAGGGGCTATAAATTCGACTGAAAATTCAGAAATTTTTGCAGAAAGTTTCTTTATTCGACTTTCTGCCATACACAGAACACAGAATGATAAAATCATCAACTTTCTGCGAGATTTTTTTTGGCACAAAGTATCTTTATATGACTTTGTGCTGAAGACAAAGCTAAGAGTATTAAAACTCGCTTTCTGTCAGGATTTCCTACGCGACTTTAAAAATTTCTGCAGAAAATGTTGAAATTTTGGCAGAAAGTTCGAGCTTTTTGGGAGGGAAAAGCCCTCGTCATTCCTCCTCTCCCTCCGCCTCATCGGTAACTCTGATCTGTTCATCGAATTTAGATTCTGATACAACGAACTTTACCATCTAAGCCGTATGAATCATATCTAAGATAAGTTAGTAGACATGAGCGAGACCAAGCGATCTGAATTTCGATTTTAATAAAAATTTATCTAGCAAAACACTTGGAATAATCTTCTGCAAATATCAATAAGTTTGAAACGAGCTGCTACTAAGCTGTGATTCGTAAAACATTCAACATTCTTTTTCTTGAATATTTACTCTTTGGTTTTAACTAATCAATATTTTGTTTAACATGAGAATTTGTCTCATAGATCAAACCGATCCGTCTATAATCTATATCGGTATTGATTCCATATCTGGTTTGTCTATTAAACATATCTGTTGTTTATAGAAAGAGATGATCGAATTGTTTGAGAATTTAAACTCATATGATCGTTAGTCGATATTTTCTACTTGAATTTACTGTTAAATTTAAATATTCATTTTTTTACTGGTTCAGTATTGGAAGCGAGTGAGTTGAGTCTTGCTCTTCTCAATCAAATTATTGCACAACTATCTCAAAGATTCAAAAGATTTTAATTTAATGCAATTCTTACTAAATTCTTTCGATCTGATTAAGATGCTTTAATGATGAATTCAATGATTTTTTTTTCAATTTTTATATTATGTAATTTCATCATTAAATCTTTACGTTGTTCAATGTTTTCAAAAAGATTTTTTTCATTAATTGTACGTTTTTGTATATCAATTATTGTTTGATCAATTGTTTGAATATTTATATTTATTTAAATAGTATCATCCTTACTTTGTAATTCAAGTTCAAGAGCTTTTCACAAGATTCTAAATCATATATTTGTTCAAGTAAACGAGATTTTCGTGTTGTTAATTCTTGCATATGTTGTCGTTTACATTCAAGACGACTTTTATATTCCATTTCTTTTCTTGCTGTCTAAAAAGAAAAGAATAGATAGATATAAATAATGATTCTTTTAAATTTACTTCTCGTTGTTCAAATAATTTTCTTCGTTCTTCTTCTTTATGTTGGTCCATTTGTCATTCTCTTTTTAATTGTCTTTCAAATGCCATTTGTTTTTGACATTTTTGATTATCTTTTTTTTTTTGTAATTGTAATTCACGTTTACATTCTATTAAAGAAAAATTCGAAATTTTCTTCAATTATTTAATTCTATTAATTACCTCGTTCTTTACGTTCTCTTTGTCCACGTAATAATTGTCGATGTTGTTGTAATTCTTTATATCCATCCTAGAAAAAAAAATAGATTCAAAAAAAAGTTTAGAAAATTATTTGTTGAAATACAAACTTCATCATTTTTTTGACGTTTTTCTTCATAAGTTACTACTAAACTATTTTTTTCGTTCAAGCTCTGTTGTTTCATCAGAATGATTGTCTGTTGTATTTTGTAATGCAAATGTATCTTTAAGTTCTTGATTAATATGAGCAAATGCTTGATTCATATTTGATTTTGATAATGAACCTGTACATTCATGTTACATTATAGTTGCATGTGACCATTCTTCTGGTAAACGATATGGTAATGTTTAACCAGCACCAACAATATCACAATAATGCATTGCAACAACAAATTCATTTGGAGCTAAACGATCATTTTTATCATGATCAGCTAAACTCCTTAACAAAAAATAAAAAATAAAGAAATATTCGTTAGATTGAATGTAAATCAAGTCATGCTACTATTTATAAGTTTTGAAAAGGATCGATTTGATGGTTTAAATATAGTGAAATGCAATAGACTAATGTAGTTAGCAGTTTTAGGTAGTGTGACTTCATATTATGACAATGAAGAAGTTTTCACGTTGTGCAAGATATTTCTGAGAGAATGAAATAAATATTTTTAATCTAAATTCTTTTCTATAGATAGGTCTAGTAGTTATTAAACTGTCTTGAAAGTTTCAACGAAAAGAAATATGTCTTTCTCGAGATATTTAATTTTGAAAAAAAAACAGCTGTGAGACATAGAAAGTCATGTTCATTTTCGTTGAAATTCTCAAAGAATTACAATGACTATTAGATTTATCTATAGACAACATTTCAGGTCAAAAGTATTAATATTAATTTTTTTCGAAAATGCTTTTCAGTAAATAAAAAATTCAACAAAAATGATTATAATCATTTACCAGTGAATCTTGCGAATTTTTTTAGTTTCAAAGGAATCTATTCGTACCCATAGTATGAAAGCATACAACGTTCAATAATTGGTGATACTCTAGTTAGATCTTGACATTTGAACAACAGTTCCAGTCTTTCACTGTCTAGCTTATCATTTAGTGTATCACGAAGACACAGATCAGAGATTTCGAGAAAAAGAAAAATATAGTCATGACCAAAAATCTTGATTCCATCAGACTCTAGTGCTGATCTTTTCTATTGATAGATTAAATCTGTAGCTAAAATATGGAACAATGATATACGCTGCTGGAGCTAAAGGTAGTTTTCAATGAAGCTATCGGTACTCAGAATGATTTTGCTAGCCTTGCTGCTTCTTTGGTAGATCTCAGCAACGTTGTGTTAGTTAAGTATGACGGGCAACCACGAGATCAATCTCAATTGTTGCTGATATGTAAAAAATCGATCAATAACTGAAAGAAAATATTGATTTTATATAAAATATTTCTCCCATACATTATTAAAATATGAACTCCTATTTATTCAATAACATCTCGGTTATTTTGTCGTTCAATGTAAATATACACATATCTCTCATTCAATAAACATGTACGTATAAATCACTTTCATGCTTAACTTTCACTTATCCTATGTAGATAGTTTTAAGACTATTACAACAATTCTTTTTTTTGCACTCCACTGTATTTACAATCAGATGGGTGCGGGTGCGAATATACCAGAAGATAACATTGAAACTCACACCCACACCCACACCCTGGTATGGATCCTTGCTTTATCTACACTCACATCCATCCAGAATGTTAAAGGCCGCTTTCAGTTTTCATTTTTCTATTCATTATATATTATCGATCGAATAAGATGTGTGTGTTCTCACGACTTCTCTCATAAAAAGTGAAGAACTTAGCAAAAAAGAGTTCTCCATGTACTACTGTTAGTCAGAAACTACTCTAAGTGCAAAAAACTGCAATCTTTACAACTAGGCTATGGTTAACTATATCTGACAAGGTTCAAATTTCGAACAAATTTGTGGTGTTTCGTCAATACTTCGAAGATTTCTGATTGAAAATAAGCTTAAGCATTCCATTATTTAACTCGTATTTGAGAAATATCAAAATATTCAAGTATAAACGAGAATTTTATTTAAGACTCTATTTCAGACAATCGTCAATCATTTCACAATTTGTTTTTCTATGATAAGAATTTCGATTATTCGCACATGAAAAGAATGAATACATGATTTATTTTCAAACATAATAAAATGAGTGACTCCTAGTTCCCTTCAACATCGATGGAATCCTTGAATTTCATGAGCTCATTACTCATCTAAACATCTCGCTATTCCAACTCGAACTCGACTTTCTCTTGTCATCTACAGCAACAGATCTACATAAAGCGACTTGTACACTCAATGAGAATATCAGCTCATTAGTATTATCACGAGAAACCATCCTATCTTGAGGGTGTGGGTATGGGTGAGGATGTGGTAGGGGTGTGAGTATGGGTGTTCTAGTTTCTCATCCTCATACTTACACCCACACCCACACCCTTTTTGTCATAGAATAATGCTAAGGCAAAACAAATGTGATATTCGGA